ACCGTGCTGTTATACTAACAAGAGAAAGTACTTGTGTCTGGGGAACATTTTCATGTTTCTGAGATTTACTGGAGCTTTCCTACAGCTTCTTTTAGTTTGTGCATTTAAGGAAAATAAATAAGTAATTAAAACAGATAGAGGATATTACCATCCATCACCACTGACTTGGAAATTAGAACTTAGCTCTATGGCAGTTTGCACATATTCTCATTATGTAGCAAGGATTTTGTCTTTGTTAGCCAAGAAATAGGTTTTAAAGACAAAGCTGCCTGGGATGTGAGTAAGGGCAAAAATATGGAAGCTTCTGGCCAGATCATGAGAAAGACTTCGGGACATATGAGCACATTCAGTTCACTAAACTTATTTTTGTTATTCTGTACCTCGGCTTACCCCTTAATTCTTATGACATATGCAAGTAACCCAGCTCAAAATTTTTGCCCAGTTTGCCCATGAGGTAAAAATGCAGTCTACCTGTGGTGGCAGAAAATAAGGATGAATAAGTAAATCAATAAAAACGCCCTTTGTTTAAAGATCGGTGAAGACTACAGGAAGAAACCAGTGAAACAGAGTACCCAAACAGACTGGGAGATTTGCTTTGTTTTGCCATGGAAAACAGTATCTAGAGACCATGACACTGTGAAAAATGGAACACAGCCACATTAAGCTGTATCAGTATAGCTGGACTCCGGTGAATTTGACACAGTATGATTGCAGTTCTTTCTACAAGCATTTTTTGAAGGTGTTAGGGATGGTGAGTTTTATCTTACTTTACAACATATCACAGGTAATCTATTCTGCAAATGTCGAACAGGCAAAGCTACCCTTACCCATGTCTGGTGGGATACATGCATTTTGGAGGAGAAATTGGACATAAATGAAAAGCCAGCATCTACATATAAATGCTATTCTTTTCTCACACAAGGAAAAGTAGGTCTTGACATTCCTGTATTCTTAATAAGGAATTATATTCCCAAACACTCAGATGAAGTTCTCCATCATGGTGCACTGGCATTATGGCAGACATTGTGGGAAAAGCAAATTCATTTAACTGGTCCCAGGGGAAGGGTCCCTGCCCAGAGAGTTTCACAGAGGAAGCCACACATAGACTCCTACCATTTTAATAAACCAGTACTGTGGGGCTTCATTACAATGTAGTGAATCAAGAGTTAGCTAGCAGTAGAAGAAAGAACTTCATTTCAAAATAACCCTTCCAAAGTATCTTCATTGGGATTTGGTTTGTGCTTATAATTATATTTATAATTATAATTGTGCTATTATCTTTTATTTCTCATGCAGCAGGAGCTAGTTTTACAATCGGGGCCTCTTTGTTCCACAAGTTGCATGGAGATGGAGAGAAACAAACCCAGCCTCGAGGAAGTCATGATGCAAACAGACAGGACTGACAAGGCAACAGAGACACAGCAGGGCAAACTGCCTCAGTGGAGACCCAGGGCAGATGCAGCAGCACAGCACTGGACTCCCTTCCGCACTGAGATGAGACTTCCTTTCCCAAGTAGCTTTTTTTTGCTTTTCCAGTTATTCTTCCAAGCTCTTGTTATAGCTAAACAATGCATTATAACTAAAAGATTTTTGTTGTTGTTTTGTTTGTTTCTTTTAATGTGTAAGGGGTGACATTTAGCATTAAAAAGTATTAACGGGGATTAGTATGTTCCTGCTGGAAGGAGGTGTGGGTCTGGGTGAAGCATGTAGCTTTAGATTTATGCATTAATTATGTTAACACAATTAGTTAAGCAAAGTTGAGAGAAAGGTGAATTCTGTTTTACTGGCAGACAGGATTTGTTGAAAATATTTTGGTGATCAAATTAAAACTTCTCAGTCTCCATGCTGACACGGAAATAAGTAATGGACTAATAAGTCAGGATTAACATGACAATAAGTCATGAGGGCTAACACGACTGCCTCTAACAGATTATTTACATAGGGACATAACAGACCTTACTGAAAGCTTGCTTTTCAGGTGGGAATATTTTCACAATACTGTTTTATCATGCTATATATAGCCTCTAAAGTGGCATTAGGAAGTGTGACATTTATTCAGATGAAGGCAGGCAAGCAGTCCATTTTAAGCAGACATCTCTTCCCCCGTGACTCCCAGGCAACCTTTAAATAACTTTAGATCTTCCCTTCATGTTAAAAGCTCATTATCTTTTCTAGGAATTCTTTAGAAGTCTTCTGATCCCAAATACCTGAAGTCATTTCTCAAGACAGCACTAGATTTCTTATTCCAGGTCTCTCTTACAGTTTTCTAATATTCTGAGTCTTGCTGAATGTAGCATTCAAGAATTGTATATCTTTGGTTCAGAAGGAAAGAAAGAAAATCACCAATCATGATCTTTATGTTCATTTCTAAAGGAAAAAGAGCTAAACAACTGCTAAGTGCAGATTCTTTACTTTCACAGCTTTCATTCTAGCACTGTGATTTCTGATTCAGTATTGACTCCAGCAATTCTTTCTCTTCATACTTTTTTCAGTATTCAAATCTCTACTTTTCATTATTTTTTCTTCGTACTCCCTCCTCATATGATCGCTGACCATCAAAAAGTTGGAGCACTTCTCTGAGGTGAAGGTGTCATGAAATAATACCATTCTGAGACACTAAATAAAGGTGTAACTAGAATTACAACCATTTCCTTCATAGCTTTGAGTTGTTAAGTAAGCTGAGTTGTTTTTTTAGCTTTTGAATGAGCTACATTTATATTCAGAATAAGTCATCATTTTGGACACAGCAAGTCATAAAGGTATGTTTAAGTCATAAAGGCCAATGTTTATTCTTGCTACCCCTGAACTACCAATAAAAAGCCATTTTGACAACAAAGGTAAATATCTTCAGCTAAGTTTTGTCTAAGCCACTAACAGCTTTTTTCAGATTATCTCAGCTACTGTTGTTTGACCTGTGTGTTGACGATCTGCATATAGATCGAAGGAAGACAGGAGGCCAATATATCATAAGGAAATCTCCATGACATATTTATGTTAATCTTTGTTATATTCCAGATGGGTGTTTCTTACCAGCTTTGTCACCTGGGAACGACCGCATTTCATCACCTTCTGCCTCTGAAAAAGGGGGCATTTGAGCTAACCTTGTGGAGCAAGGCAGCGCACTATCCAGCATCGTGTGATGAAACCGGGAGTTTCACAAGGGACGTGTGAGCGTTTTGTCTGGCAGTAGGGCTATCCCTGACGACAAGAGTCTAGAAACCAGTTTGTGAGGGAGAGGGAAAGGGAGTCACTGAGAAAATAAATAAATAAATAAATAAACGACAGAGCTCAGGATACAGTACTTGGGGGAAAAAAGCAGCTACAGGCCCTTAGTTTGGAGTCACATCACTTGCTGAAATGCCAGTCATAAAAATGATAGGAGAGCTGGGGATCCAGCAATACCAGAGGCCTACCATGACCCTCTTCCGCTCAAGTCACTCCCCAAAGTAGCTCGTCATTAATGAGTGCTTGATTTAAGGCTAGGGCAATGTCTCTTGATGCCCTGCACACCTCTGCATCCCAGCAGCATTTGCTCTAATAGCCATGCTTGGAGCTGTCTGTGTGCGAGTGTGGATGTGCGGGATTGCACACGCGTGCAGGCCTGCTATCTCACAGCCGGAGGGGTTTTCATTAGATTCAAACAGCAACTGACTCTCCAGGGAAGCTCCTGCTCTTATTTGATAAGGGATGCTCTTTTATCACACATGAAACTGCATGCAGTGATCAGACAGGCACTGTGCATAGCTGCCAACAAGAGGAAAGCTGTTTTTCTGTAGCATATTACAGCAGCATGTCACTACTGCGCTTGTAGACTGGTCCAAAAATGGTCAGCTATGGCAGCCACAGAAACTGGTACTTTTCCTCCTTCAAAAAAATCTGCAATCATTCATTTGCTGGAGAGATTTTGAATATCATGTTATTCTTTGAGAAGACTGAGGCAGTTATGGTAGATCAGAGTTGAGAAGACATTTGAGCTGCTGGGACTTGCACATCTAATACAAGTGACACTCTTCCTTTCAAAGAACTTGCAATCATTCATTCTCTGACATTAAAACAAATGAGTGAACAACACCTGTAAACACAAATGTTAGTCGTGTAAAATATAGCTCTCCAAAAGGAAATACATTGGATTTTTCTTCCTTTTGGGGGAAAAAAAAGTCTTTGTCTTTTATGTCTTTTTACTTCAAGGGTAAAGCTTTGCCAAGCTAATTGGCATGCCACAACTTCAAAGCACTCAGTCAATCTGCAAAAATCCTGCAGGCATGAAAGTGCATGCCTTGGTGACCTCTGTCACTACTGGTCTAATAAGTCACCTGGGACCTGGCACACCTGGTTTGCTGCCATGCCACTACTCTCTTTTTCACTTTCTTGTCATCTCTACAGCATTTCTTCATAGAGTTTTCTCTATATTCTCTGCTATAATTACATTTGTGGGAGCTGCAGCTAACACACACCTTAAAACTGGGCCTTAGATGACCTTAGGAAGTAAAGAAGACAGTGATTGTGTATACATCCCAGTCCTGATAGAATTCTGAGATATATTTTCTGAAAGTCAGCTGTCAGTGTCAAAGTTAAAGTGACTACTATAATTGCACCTTAGAGTATCTAGAGATTTGATAAAGTATTTTTATCCAAATTTCTTCCACTTCTGTGATTATTTTTAATAGATAATAGCGATATTTCTCTTTTGTTTTTTTTTGACCTTGACCAAAGAATTATATCACTTCCCTTTTGTTACTGAATTGTATCTCATAAAAATGGTAAAAATACTTGAAACTAGATGTTAACCCTTTTAATTTTTGTCATCTTTTCTCTCTCTCCTAAGCACTACTTTTTGTTATTCATACTGACTTTCTAAGCACTACCGCATGCAGCTGAATATCAATATTAAATTTAAAACAACAAAAAAACAACCTTCCCCCCTCTCAACTGGGGAGGCAGTAGACAAGCCTTTTTCACTCAGTGTAATATCTGGATCAGAGAAGTGTTTTAGTTCTTACTTTTAACAGTGAGGTACATGGACTTGCTGACGTCTGCTCCCACATCATTGCTGACCTTGCAGAGGTAGTATCCACTGTCTTCTTCCAACACATGTTTAATCAGCAAGGAGCCATTTGTGAGAAGCTGGATACGACCATTCAATGCAATCGGCTGGAACTGAGGAACGCCGGCACCTAACGCAGGACCACCACACACATACACAAAAAAAAGGTCAGTTAGGAAGGAAAGGGTCTCTTTTTTTCTTTTTATAAATAAGTAAGAAGCAGCTTCCTATTCTTAGAGGCTCGATTCAAGTAAAATGCAGTTTGTTTGGGGGATCACTAGAACAAATGGCATTGATCCTTGCCAAACCTGAACTTATTAAGTGGAAAGGAAGGAAGACTTACCAAGCATATTATTTGGTGAGAATAATAAATAATTTGCCCATTTTGTTAAGGAAGGCAAAAGGAGAATGAATTGGGCATGGAACCAGGAAGGAAAAAAGTGAGAATGAAAGAGATTTGTGAACAGCTCATGGGTAAAAAGGCACATTTGTTGTACATTTAGAGGTTGATAAATTATTGACTATTACAGCTGAACAGTCACAGAGCTATGCATCCCTTATGCATACACCAAATGCATTTCTTATGACTAAGAGGGATGTCTGGTGTAGTAAACATGGAATACTCAAGGGACCTCTAGGACCTTGTTTACTAAACTCTAGGTGACGTGAAAAAACACACCAGTGACTGTGTTGCCTCTTTCCTCCTGCAGCTGACTGACTGATGACACCTAAAATCTCTGCTCTGCCATGTCTGGGGCCGGTATTCATTCAGACTGTTTAAAAAAATTACAAAGAAAGAAACAAACAAAAATCTCAAAACACACCGATAAGGCATAAGGCACCTCATTTCATAATAATTGAAAGTCCATAAAAACACAGAAAACCAAAGTTTCTGCATCGACTTTGCTTTCAGGAAAAAAACAATCTTAATACAAATTTAAGATAGAAACAATCTGTTGAACTCCATGATTTGTTCAAGCTAGACACACACCTAAACTCTCTAAGATAACAGATTTTGGCAGAAATGACAGCTGGTTGGACACAGCCACATGGAACTTGCATATTTTTTTTCTCTCACATGTTCTGGATGACCAATTTACAAGCGTATTAGGCAGCACCTTTTTGCCCTATCCCAGAGGAAGGTCCAGGCAAAGGATGAGTCTTCAGTTTCCTCCTACTCTGCTTGCATATAGCAGATACTAAATAGAAATACAGAGAATAGCTGTTTTATCCTTTAAAATTGTGGCTGGACGAACTGCTCCTAATCAACACAGAAAGCAAGTGGAGCAAAAATCATTCAGCGAAGCTACTGGATGTAGTATCTGATGATTCGTGGACGAGCGTCAGAGCATTAATCGTATTCCAAATGTGAAAGGACACAGTTTCAGTTCTGAATGGTTGTGTTAAAGCTACTTCTGGGTGATCTAGGGAATAAGGGATAGCTTTTAATTAGCTAACTTATTATAATAAAATTATTATTACAATAAAATAATGTCACACTGTCCACCACAAGTTCAAGTTCCTCCAGCATTAGAAATTCTGCAAATGCATATTAAGGTATAGTTCTTGTGACAGGGATTTTACAACACAGTTTGGCAGTAGGAAGGGGATTTTTAAGAGAAATCATACTTCTTCTTCAAGGGAATTCTCTTTTACTATTTTCTGTACATGAAGTTGATATCTGTCAACATTAATTACAGCAGTTGGCTGAGTTGGCCCAGCAGGAAATACAATGAATAAATACGATGGCAAATGATTTAGGATAAAATAGTAAGCTATAACAACCTAGAATATAACATCTTGAATGTTAAAAAAAAAAAAAAGGCCTGACATGAATACTAAAATTCTTCTAGTTCTAACAGATTTGCTCTGGAGACTGGCAGTTACACTGAAGGTTCCCAGGGCTGATACTGTGAACTTAGAAATATTAAAGGGATAATGTTTGCAGAAAAATCATCTGAAAAAAGTTTTTTTCAGCTATTTTAGTCACAAGCATAACATCCCTCCTTTTTTTTTCTTTTCTTTTTTTTTGGTTTTGGTTTGTTTGTTTTTGTTTTTTTTTCTTTAATAAGTCTTTTTTTCTGTCCTTTAGTAGGAAAACGCTAATTTTAATATCTCTAAAGGACAGGCAAAATAGCCCAATGCAAACATTCCCTTATATTTCTCCACACACACAAAAAAAGGGGAACTTTTTGTTGTTTAAGTGAAAGAAAGGACCACTAGTCCTGAGCATAGGCAGAATTTTGCCCATTCTGTGGATAGTCCATTGAATGGATAAAACATGGCATAAAAGTCTTCAAAGATCTCTTATGCACATGGATGCACGCAGGATTATGTGCATCTTTTCTGGTGCTCCAAAGTCCTTCTTGAGCAGCGACAGCCACTAATCACCAGCAACTGCATGGAGGAGTCTGTGGGGTGACTATTGCTCATAAAAGACTAAAATAAAATCATTCGTGCTGATTAGGGAGTCCCTGTATTAATTGTGTCATTATTTTTCAGAAACAACACATCTGCTACATGTCTTTCCCAATGCACAAAAAAGCAGACTCTCCTCTTGTTCACCAACATTACAAGCCTAACTGCTTTGCAAATGCACAGATGCCCTTTTCACTCTGCTGAGGGATCTACAAATGAGCTAAGGCCTGATTGCTTCACTCCTGCTGGCCTGACCACAGTAATTATTTCAAAATTTGGGACAAACCCAGCCCCTAAAGCAATTATATTATGTGCCTCTTTAAGGCAAGATGGACTATATAGCCCACGTATGTGTGCTGCATTCCACTTAATTAGACTAGCTATTGAAACTGAAGGCATGCATTAGCAAAATGCAGAGACAGAATAAAAATACTGACCTTATCTCCTAGAGTTATTTTGCCCAAAAACTCAAAGTACAGTTCGACAGCTTTGCATCAAATTGTACTTTGATTCAAATCAAGCACCTAAAACTTTCTCTGACTTACAAACTTCAGAACTGCTAAGAGGAAACTTTAGAAAAATGCCACTTGAGAGCAAAGTATCCCTGAAATCAAACTGTTCCCTTTTTTCCTTCACTAACATGGGCTGCTTGTCTCGTCACAGTTAACTACAACTCAGCTAGCCTGACTTGACCTCTTCCTTCAACACGGGAACAAAATAAAACTGAGCTGCCTTTCTGTGACCTATAGTTACAATTAAAATCCCATCTACCACTGAGATCAATGGGATCAAGGGCTGAGCCCTTCTTGCCCCAAATCGGCATGTATCAGCATTAGCAGTTTTTAAAATTATCGTTTCTTTTCCACCACTATTTTTCTCCAAATGAAACTTAGGAACCATCAGATAAAGATTCATTCTCAAAAACACCCTTTTTTGCCCCTGTCTGTAAGTCATTTGGGGCTTGCTTAAAGACCTCTAAAGTGCTGACTCAGGGGCACAGGATACAGAGTTCGGAGAGTTTGTGGTTTTTTTGATAACACCAGCTAGCAGATAACTGGCTGGAAGACACAATCTAGCAAGCAGCACATTTTAATTAAAAAGCTGTCAATTTCATATGGTTAGTTAGGGTCAAGTGGGGCCAGTTTTAATGCTCTGTTACATGAGAAGAAAATGTTAAAGCATTATGTAAAGCACATACTGAATTACTGCTTATGCTAATGCTACCTGACCTTTCTTCTTTGCTGAAAAGATATGATTGGCCATGTTATCATGGAGTTTAAAGGGAAAAAAAGGCAGCCAAATGCTACCAGTGAACCTTGTTTTAAGGTTGTCTCAAATAAAACAGCATTTCTTTTCTCTCGGGCTTACTTTTCTTTGCGAGTCTCTCTGGGAGGGCAGCCAACACACATGCACATTTGGACACACACACACACACACACGCATGTCCACACATTCGGAGCTCCATGGAAGTGCACTGAGCTAAACCACATTCATATAGCTCAGCCTTGCACCTGTGACAGAGGTTAGTACCATGTGCTGGGTGAAACTATAGAAGAACAGTGCGAACAACTGATATATCCCTTGCAGTATCGTACTAGCTGCTGACAACATGAAATTTATACCAGTAACTTACCGATAAATAAGCTATTACAAAGCCACATCTAATCCCTCTTGCCCTGGGTGCTCACAGACGATCCATACCTTTGGAGTACTTCCAGACAATAGTAGGAACAGGGTAACCCTCTGCAGAGCAGTTGAGAATCACAGCTTTCCCGTATATGCCATCCTGGTCACTCGGCTGAACCACAAATCGTGGGGGCACTGCGGGAGGAAGAAGGTGAAACAGTGAGAGTTTGTGCAGCTGATCAGATAGGTCAAGGCTGATCCAAGGGAAAATAAGAAGGCATGACATTTCATAAGCAAAAGGAAAACTGGAAACAGCTTTTCAGGAATGCAGTCATACTGCGAATATTGTTTTAGGCAACTTTCTAGTTACTGTGCACAAACTTTATGCTTGCCAGAGACAACAAATGCACTAATCTTGCCAGGATGTGAAAATAAAGTAATAGAAACTCTCCATGGGAGAGATTACAGAACCAAAAAAAAAAAAGATTGAAAAATAAACCAAAGTATCATGGTCAGAAAAGAAATGCTTGCTTGAAAGGAATAACCGGTGTCTAAGAACAGCTAAATATTTCTCAATTTATTTATTATTTTCTTTATTTTTTAACAGTGAGCATGTGTACTAGCAGGTTATAGAAAAAGAAAATTTTAAGAAAGATATACCTATACAACCTTAACATAAAATTGTTATTCTGTGACATCATAAAATGACTGCAGAGTCTTCCATATATACAGAAGTACCTACGCGTAATCAAAGAAAGACATGCATGTTCCAGACATAAATACATAGCAAAATAACAACTGCTTGCAACAACACTATACCAGCAGTTAATGAAGAGGACAGACATGAAAAGTCAATGTAACAATAAAACCTGCAGATTTGACAGAAGTTCATATGAAAAGCTTAAAAATGGGAAGACTTTTCGAAAAAGATCACAGAATCACAGAATGGTTAAGGTTGGAAGAGATAGAAAATAATAAGAAGGATGCTTAGCAAGGATATACCTTACCAAAAGGTCCATTTAAGTCAGAGGCTTTTGTCAATCTCCTGTCTCTTGGTTCATGACTCAAATAAGCAAAGAGTTGAAAAAAAAGTTCTTTCTGCTCTCAACCTATAAGCTCTTCTTTCTGTGGTGCCTTAAGAGTGCTACATGGAAAACATAGTAAGGTAGCCAAGCTTCTGAAGGTCTTTTCCACCCTCAAGCTGAGTAAGAAGCTCAGTCTTAGGACAGTATGGAGAAATAGTCATAGTTCCTTCATTTCCTCAGCTCACTGCAGTACTGAGACATATGCATGGTCATGGATGGCTTTCTGTTTGACCACACTGGAAAGCCTGTGCTGAATTTGTCTGCAGGGACAGACAGGGATGCTGAAAGTTGGAGCCTTCAAGCATAGAGAGCCCAGAAAACCCTCCTTGCTTTGATGCAACCCTTTAACCCAAGTTCTCATTTGGCCTCTTCGTCTGCCTTTAGGGAGTGCCAAAAACAAGAAAAGGAAGTATGAGAGAGGGTTGAAACCCAAGGAAACATAAGGCAGCATAGAAAGGGATCTTCGGCAACCAAGTATAGTACTATTTGTACACCTGAAACTTTAGCTGCCAGTGATGGGACTAGCCAAGGACTGCTCAAACTTGGAGATACCTAAAGAAATTTGCTCCAGCTGCAGAGAACTGCTACTGTGATTTTTGAGGACGTGACTTCCTGGCTCTTAGTCTTAAGATTGCCATTAGCAACCAGAAGTGATGCTACAGCAAAACAAAATTACCCATGCAATGATCTTTTGGCTGGATAAAACCACATGATTTTTCTTCTTTAGAAATGAATAGGAAGTAAACAGAGGATAACTTCATTTTTGTTGCTGGTTTGTTTTTCTTTCCCATTGATAATTTCCTTCTCAATTTTATTTCAAAGGAACCAATTGTTCAGAGCTATATGCTAGCACATTTTGGAAGGCAACGCATTTGACTACTCAGTCTAGATTTTGGTATTTAGATTCAGACTATAAGACTACATTCACTTTTTTTCACTATCTTTAAAGAATTCATTAGCCTTTAAACAAAATTTGCTTAGTAAGAACTTTACCAAGATCATTTGTCTGGTGTGGAGCTAATGGAGAACAGAAAGCAATTAGCTTTCCTCCTCTGTAGTTATAAAGGTGTGGGCCATGATATGCCCCTATGAAACACCCTGATATAACTCACAAATATAACTGAACAGTTCTTCTCTTATTATCACCTCTGTTTCAGCAGCACAGTCCCTTGAGTCTGTAAAGGAGGGCATTCAAAATTGCTTTAACAGCAAGCTTCTTTCAGGCTTTCTCATTTAAAGCAGCCCACAGATGAGAAATGAGCTATTGAATTGTTTAGTTTTACAGCAATAAGTTGACAGATGCAAACTATTTAATGGTTGAACTCAAAGGACCTGAGAAAAGGTATTTTCTCTCAATATTATGACTAGCAATCTCAGGCTCTCATGAAGGGGAAAAAAAGTATGAGGAAAATCAGAATAGGGTGCTGAAGATAACACGAATGCCACAGTAACATTTTAAAGATTGGAAAATGCTTTTAGTATCTACTTCTGTGAAACAAATCTGATTAATAAGATAAGAAAAGATCATGAAAGATGAATTGGTACCCTAGCAAGATGCCGCTTACCTGTGTCATCACTATTGACAATGATGGACATTACAGACTATTAACTAAAATTAATTCATAAGTGTGTTCTAACATCCTCCCATGTATTTATTTATCTTTTTTATACATATATATAATCCAAGAACTTTCAAACATTCCTTGCTGGAATATAGCACAGTGATAGTATAGTGATTAGTACATTACACTAAAGACTCCTAACTTACTCTGAAGACTCCTAACATGAGCTCCTCTGGTGGGCTACTGGAGTGAGTTAAGAAATAATCTATGACATTGGCCCAGAATACAATGTTTCATTTTTACATGGAATATTTGTACTTTACATTTAGATCATACTGTCAAAATGATGGAAGAAATTTAATCAGCCAAAGCAACCATTGATGTATTAATGAACGAGATCATTAAACACTGTACTTTAGCAGAGATGAACAGTTATTAAATTCGGTCATTGGACCTAAGGGGTCGATTTAGCTGCTTTAGTGAAACCATTTGCTATGCAGTTCAAGAAAAAAAGATGTACTTTTACAAAATGAGAAATGCCTAGTGGTTTGTGTTGATCAGGTTTGCCTAATGAGAACATTAAATAGGAAGTGAATCATCCAAGAGTAACCTTCAAAGCCAGAGTATAAACACCAGCAAAGAAAATAAATGGGTTTTGACACCAACTGTGACTATAAATCTTTTTCCCCTACTTTTCCGTCACAGATTGCATTTGCTGCATGACACCACTATCACCAGACACCAGAGAGCAGACAGATACTTCCTGGAATATTCAAGGCTGAGGGGCTCTTCATTGGGTACTTAACTGTTATCTAACCATATAAGACATACCTGGCAAGCACAAAATGAAAACACATTCACACTAAATGCATTAAGGGGGGTTTATTAGGTATTTAAAGACCTTATCTCAATTTAAACTCAAGATGTGTTCACTAAAAGGAATTTTAAAATCATGATTTATGCACCCACTGTTATCTTTGAATTCTCTGTTCTCATAGTACCGGATTTTTTATCTCATAATACATTCATGAGCTTTTTCCTTTGGTTACCAATTAAAATCTTTTTCACCACTTTTTATTTCATAATTATTTCATTCCCATCTTAGGAAATTCTATCAAAATGAATAATACATGATAAAATGTCTATAGATTTTTAATCACTCTTTAGAAGACAGCCTTAATTAATAAAGCTTTAGTTAATTCCATACAGTGATATAAGGATTTGACAGAAAATATATTTTCTTAACTTCGACAGACAGTTTTTATGACAGGATCCTGTTTGTTCCTTTCTGTTAAAAAAACATTGATGGTAGGCTTGTTTTACAGAAAGCCCACATAGCAAACTATGAGTGCAACAGGAAATAAAATAATCAAAATCATAACAATTTACTTTTTTTTTTTTTGAGAAACCTCTTTTGTGTGTGTGTGATGGATTTCTGGAGGAACTACAAGGAGACAGTGCAGCATAAGCTTCAAAAGTGAAAGCTTACTCACCTGGATGAAGTAAAGAGAGGATGACCTTCTTAAATAACGACTGATTTTAAAAGATATTCCACAAACATTAGGACTAACCAAGTATCATTTTCTGCAGATTTGTACCTGTCTAATATTCTGCTGTTTCACACTTAGTAAAGGTATTTCCAAACAATCAGCACTTTTTAAACTTTTTTAGACCTTCAGTTCTATTCAAGGCATTTTCACCTCTTCAGACTCATCTGAACTGGTCAGTAAGTGGCAGGGAAGAGAAGTGCTGGCAGATCTATGTCCCAAGCATGGGACTACAAAGTGTCATTTCCAGACCCTCACCAAGGAACCTATGACAGGAAAACTACCAGGACCGGGAGTGCTCCCACCTTGGGTTGAACAAGTTTTCTGCCCTTGTTCTCTTTCTCTCAATAGGCCCTTCCCATCTCCTGTGCGATGCTCTGTGAGGAGGCTCTGTGGAAGCAGCTGATCTGCCTTTTTTGCTACACCAGGCAAATTCCAGCACTGCTTGCCAGGTATTGATTAGGCTCTTTATTATCATTTGGTTGCTTTAATATAGCCTAGATTAACATGAACAGCAGTGAGGATTTACTGTAATGTGCCTGAAATTTTGGGCCAATGCTTTTTTTTATTTATTTTTATTTTGCCTTTTTATACTCCTTATTTTGGAAACATCATAGTTGTCATCATTTTTAAATCTACCTTTAAAGAGAAAATAACACCAGTATAAAGAGGGAGAAAGGAACTTTGTGGGGAACAGTCATATTTGCTTTATTTTCCTCTCTTGCTCACTGTCTATTGTCATATCAAAACCCACACACTTCATAAGAGACATTCCCAGAACTCATCCCCTGATATTTAAAAAACGCCAATGTTTACATTTAGAGCACACTGCTGAGAAACCATCACACAATGTAGATTAGAAACAAGAGGAACTTAAGCACCATTTATTCTCCCTTCATTTAGAGGAAAACTGTTTGGCTTATTTAGAAAAATACCATATTTCAGTTATCCATTCCTCATAATAGGAATTGATGAGGAGGAATCAGAAAGCTTAGAGAAGAAACAGGGAGCAGGGAATCTGTTCTTTACTTAAATATTATAGGTAAGGTTGGAAGTAGATTAATAGAGACTAAAAGAAGCCCTCTGATAGCTGTCTTCTGACCTATGGAATGAGATATTTGAAGCAGTTCAGTAGGAGAGCAAGAGATCAGTTCCACATACAGTCCAAAATTCAGGTCAAACAGGAGATGCTATTTCCCACCTCCCCACGAGGGAGAGCTATTAACCCAGATGCAGAAGGAAAACTGCTTAAGTTATTTCCATTTAAATTGATAGAGATAAGAGAGGAGCTTAAAGAAGACTGCTGCAGAGCAATAGCCATAGCAGGAGAATAAGTAAGAGGAGGCGAATGTAATAACCCTCATAACCTCGCACACACTTTGCAGCACAAGCACTCCAGAAAACTTTTCCTAGTCTCAGGGGAGATACTGAGAAGCAACCCTGTGTCAGGTCCATAGTATTTTAACATGCACAGTCAACAGCAGTCATCCCACCACCCACCTGGGGCAGGGCTTTCAGCATTTTTTTTTAATTAGGGCTGTGACACCTCATCGTTCTTTGTGCTAAAAACAGGATAGGGCAGAAGGCCAGTTTTCAGCGGTACAACCTACGCCAGCTTCCTACATTGAAGATCACCCTACCATCCCTGTTTTGATGAAATGCCTATAGGAACTAATGCGTAGTTGCTAAAATGATTCTTTCCCATCACTTGCAAAACTTTGCAGCATTGAGTATACCTGCAAGTCAGGTGGTAATTCACATGCTATTAGGTGGGGCATCTTTGCATAGGGCAGACATCCTCAGTGTCACTTCTGCTATGACAGGAGGTTGTGAACTTTCCTTTGCCCAGGAAAAGAGAAGGGGAGGAAATTCTTCTTTTACTGTTAGAATGATCATCAGAGTTCAAGGCCAACAGAGCAGTGTAGAAAAAAGTAAGGCGCATGCAGTTAATTAAATGACTTCACTTAGGAATTACTGTATAGATGGGGAAAGTAATAAATGTCTATACAGAGTAATACTTAAAATGAAGTTAAAAACAGTGAAAAAAAATAAAAACAATCATTAAAGTAGTATTCGTATCAAAACTAGTGAAAACATAATAGGCCCATTTGCAGCTGAGTTATGGGAATATCAGCATAATGAAAGTCAGATATAAATACTGCAAGTGGAAGATTAGGGAATATTCCCTTAACAATATTCCCAGATCATCATGAAGGTTTGACTTAAAGGAAGAGCTGTTCCAAATGTTTTGCTTCAAATGAGTTTTTGAAAAAAGAGCTGGCAAAGGTGGCAAAAGGCCCTAAGCGGTTTTAAGAGAAATCTTGGTGAACTACCGGAAGAGATGCAGTGATCTGCAGCAGCCACTTGCAACAACTGCCCTTGCAGTATTTTAACTTCAACATGCTTTCTCTTTTACTGAGCAATGGCTCAGTAATCTAATGGCTTTCTAGCAAAAAGGAGATGATGGGGAGGGAAAAGTACTGCATGTAAGTATTTAAAATACTTTGAAAAATCTTCAGAAGAAATACTTTTTTGTGTGTGTGTGTGTGAAGTTTTTCACAATCAATTTGAAAATACACTGCAACGCATAAATAATCCCATGCCAATCCTAGGGGAAAGCCTAAAGGTGTGATTTAAAAGGCAGAAAGCTAAGGGAGATATCTCCCTAACAGGTCTTGTACACATATATTTCTCCTTATGGAATGTCTATGTTCACATTTGTTTCTAAGAATACGTGGTGAAGTGAGCATGAGCAAATGAAACGCACTAACTAATAAACACAAATAAAAAAACAACAAGAGAATGGGAGAATAACGTTCCCTATGAACAAAACAGCAGTGCAATCTTTTTTACTGATACAACATTATATGAGAGGATGTTCCAAATTAAAAACAGATTTAACCAGAGTAGAACAATAACAGAGAGGAATTTGATAATATTACAAAGGCTTAATCCCAAAGGAGGGGTGAGATTGTACCTCACAAAATTTTCCAGAAAGTAAATCCTGTGTCTCCCTCATATGCACGACACACTCCAGGTTGTTGATTATGTTCAAGGCTCACTACTTTCAGATAGAAAAGTTCTAGCAGTTTAAATTAACATATTTTCCAGTATTTCATACATCCCATCAAACAGATGTCATTAGAAAATACTGATGAATTCTGCTCAATTGGTGCCCTTCAAACTAATTACATCTACTTACCTCTCACAATTAATTGGCTTTGGTGCTCCACAGCTGCAGCATCATTTCTAGCTATACAGGTATAATTCCCATTGTGCATCAGCGAAAGATTAGAAATCCTTAAGGAGCTGGTGAAGTCAATGTTGTCAATCGTCACTCCGAGACTAGCTGGAATCGGCCTGCCGTCCTTCTGCCAGGTGATGGTGATGGGTAAATCCCCGGAGACCACGACACAGGGAATGAAGACTCGCTGGCCGATGGAGAACCTCGGGAACTCGAAAGGCTGGATAAAAGGTGGAACTGAAACACAAGAGAAAAGAGGAGTTACTGCAGATACAATCTCATTTCTGCGAGTAATGTAATGGAGCAGATATTAAGTATGTGCCATGCTGCGTATGTAGCTGTAACACCTTTGATAGCTCTAGGGCATCTTTTAGCTAAAAACTGCATCCCTTACAAACACCCTTCTGAGATGGGCCTTATTTTTCTCAGCTACTAGATGCAGAATTGGAGAGTATAAGCATTGAAATCCCTGGGTTCTAGAGATACCAAACACCACTGATTCCTCCAAGAGTATTCAGCATCTCTTAGAAAAGCAAAGTAAAACACAACAAACAAGCAAACAAACAAAAAAGCACATATGCAAAGCCAGCTCTTGGTTCATCAAGGTCTTTTATAAGAGAGTCCAGGAGGAGCTCAGCAGCTCTCAGGATCTGGTCCGAGAGCCTTGCTTAGGACAGTAGAATAAACCTGGAACAGTGTTCCAGCTGTGACACATCTTTGTCTCTGGGACAGGATAAAATAAAGCAAAAGTTTGTAGAGCCAGTCCTGAAACATTTTTCTTAGAGTTTCAAGGCACAATGTTCAAAACGATTATACACAGATAAGAAGGCAAGGCCATACAAAGTATTGTGGATATCAAAATTAAGCCAAAACTGATTTCTAAGTAGAGGCCCCGTACAAGGCATCGGCTTCCAAGATGGTGTAATCTAATTCCTGCTCATGTTTTGGAGGATTTTTTCTTTATTTGCCCAGTAGTATCTATTTTTGTAACTGACAACATAGCAGATTGAGAATCACATATCCATCCCAGTGGATGGACCTTAAATCTTCCCTCCTTTTCAGTGACCTCTAACAAGGGCATTGATCTAAGATCAGTTTCTATCAACCATCCCTGAAAAGACTCTAAAACCAACTTTTGAAGCAATACTCATTTATTAATACTCATCTATTTATTTATCAAAAAAGATAACCAGAAGAGGTTACACACTTCAGAAACATGTGTGCATTCTCTTGTTCTGGCCCACAAGATTACTTAAAATATTGTCTATATCACATTTGACCACCATCAGTAGGAAAGATCAAAGGAGACCCAGAGCAGAACATTCATATTACTATATATTAGCTTCAGGAGAAAATGTAGCTGTTGGTTTTATCAGAATGTGTTTCTTTTGACCTTACTCCTTTTAGCAACCCAAATGTTCGTGTTCCTCAAACCTGAGTGCCAAGAAGCAAAAAAAAAAAAAAAAAATCTTCAAGATGGTCTCAACATGTGCCAGCCCACTGACTTCCTTAGCAGTATTTTTACTCCTTCATCTGTGTCTTATTTCTGGGTTGCAAGGCAGGTGTCTGTGGTAGGTAATATGTCAGTTTGATGCACTTCAACGCATATGTTGACTGCTGTTGCATCAGGAATAAGAAACTTAATCTTTAAGGAAGTAATGCCAACCCCCTCCTGAGGGCAAAGGCATTGGTCATATATGTAAGTTTGTTTACATGTGCATCCCAGAGTGAGAAGGAAAGACAAAGTATGAAGGCCGCTATTTTTTGAATGGCCATTATGCCATTTGATGGGAAGAATTCAGGACAACGAGCATCTGTCACAGAGAAGCACCATCAGGATGCAGGTATAATGATGCAGGATATAACAACATTAGCCTCATTCTTGCAAGTGATATTGATCTGCCTTATATAGTTGTGAAAAATACCACTATAATAATGTTTTTAACACACTCTGTAATGTCTTTTCCCATCTGCTCTCTCTCAAATTGATAAAATCTGTCTTGTTGCATTACGAAAATCTGGTAGATCAGGCATACAGAAAAAAGGAAGACAGGGAGAATGAGAGAAGGAGAGAAAGAGAAAGAGAGAAAGAGAAAAACAGAGAGAGAGAAAGAGAGAGAAAGAGAGAAAGAAAGAGAAAGAGAGAAATAGAGAGAGAAATAAAGAGAAAAAGGGAGAGAGAAAGAAAGAAAGAGAAAGAAAGAAAGAAAGAAAGAAAGAAAGAAAGAAAGCTAAGACAGGCACCTGAGATATTTTGAATTCTTTGAGTGTCAACAGAAAAAGGCCAAATTTCTCTTAGCATTTATTGACATACAGTTTATAATGCAAGTGGGAATGAGAAATTTTTAGGAGACTGTCAAAAGGTTTTGACATAACCTTTCCCCTTGATGAATGTAAATATCTGCTAAATGCCAAATGGAAGGCACATACATAATGTGCTGGCTAACACATGTCTTCCCAAATCCTCTCTTAGTCTGAGGCAGTATTACAGAAAAACATGCTAAAATTCAGAACAAGGTGGCAAATTGTCTTTGTATTTTCTGTTGAGGATTTGAAGTAATCATCACAAAAATCATATAAAAATGAGACAATATATTGCTCTGAGGATTACGAAATGCACCCTCACCCTCCACTTCTTCGATGAAGAAAACAAGGAGTAAAATCATTAAGTCATACTGAAGCAATTTTCACAAAATATCGATTTGCTAAGCTGAATTTTCCAGTTCTAAAATTTACCTAGCAGCCTGCAGAACACCTCAGAGATTGTCTAAAATACTTACAGATAGCACATTTCTCCTCTACTCAGGTTTTTAAGATATGGAGGAAACCATCATTTATTTCTACTTCACAAAGTATAATGCAGCTGATGCAGCTTGCAGTCCTGACAAGGAGCTTATTTTAAAAGGCAACATGTAATTTAAAATCAGTGCTTTAAAAAAGACAATAGTCTAGCAAAATAACTTGAAAATGTTGAAAAATGTTTTTGAGCTACAATATTTACCAGTTTGTGCGGCTAAAGACAGTTCCCAGTGACCTAACATAACAGATAAATTATCTCTGTGTTAGCCCAGAGAAAAGAAGGGAACAACAACAAACAAACAGCACTTATTAAAAACTTAGACTGAGGAAGAGAGTAAAACAAAGCTGAAATCAGGCTTATCATTTACGAAATACAAAAACTTCCATATATATTTCTGAAGTACAAAGTTCACATATTTAATCCCAATAGAAGAAAAGAGCAAGCTTAACTAACCAACCAGTATACTGCTTTATTATTTCTTTTGTCCAGCAACTGCAGAGCATTAGCTTACAGTACTAGAAAAGAGATGTATACTGATATAAAATGCTATAAAATTGATAGAAAGATTTCTATCAGCTCTATCATAGGTTTCTATCATAGGACAATTCTGTTTAAAATCTGTTTTAATACACACTCTACTGTGTATTACAGCATTTTCCTTCTCTGCCTTGGTTGATCAAACTTCAAAGCTCATATTTATTTTTTGTTTTTGTTATAGTATTTTATAAGAATGTTACATGTCATACTCACAGAGAGAGGGGTGTAAATGTGTATGAATGTGTCCATGTGTATATGAAGAGATGTTTCTTCTTCTACGTACAATGGGCTAAACAGTGAAAAATCTCTGCTTTACGCTATAAAATGCAATGGCTTGGGAATGCTTGATCGATGAGTGCTTCTTGAATTAAGTGCCTCTTTAAGAAGAGGATCATGGGCCAGACTCATTACTGCTAATGTAGAGAGACTTAAATTATGTTTACTTGCCCTAGCAAGGTCTTCTGTACTTCTGGGGGATCGTTCTGAAGGAGGACAAGGAGGGCTTCCACACTGCTCTCCATAAGCAGAGGAACATCTTTAATTTCTTGCCCTCTGTTCCATGGGAGTTACACTGGAAAGAACTGCTGAGGCAGTTGACTAAAACAGTATTCTGCAGGTATCCTGTCTTCTTCAGTAGCTCTGTGAACAGAATTCTGCTCTCCTGTGGCCCCCTTAGTAAAATGAAATTCAATCCCTTTTTTCTCATTGGACACTGTGCATTTTCCTTCAGTGACACTTGCAGGAACTGTGACAAGACTGTAAAATACTTTTAGCAAGGAATACATGAAGTCCATAACTAGTGAAGCATTTTGTAGGCACAAAGGAATTGTAGCCATGCTTGCACAACACAGATCCATTGGCCTATGCAGAGTAATAGCCACCAAACTATGTAGCCTCTTGAAGAAGGCTACATAGTGAAATGGACAAAACTGTTCTGTCTTTGCACAGAGCCTGGTCACAAGCTTGCGATTCGTGTGTTTTATGATCCATCTATTGTTTCTCTGAAACAGGTCTACCTCTTTGGTTGACGGTCTGAGCAATTCTACCTAGCTAGTGAAGCACTTGCTCTTTCCGCTTCTTTTTTCTCTGTATTGAGCCTTATAATTAGGGCATGTCATTCACTGAACTATCCATTAATGACATTAATGAATGTGGCTAGTCTGAGCCATATTCTCTGCTCCCCTGTTGAGTGTTAATGCATCCCATCCTGAAAATAATTATATTTTATATTACATTATTATATTCGGTATATTCTTCAGTGCATGCATTGAAAAGGAATGAAAAAAACTAATCGCCGTCATGCCTCTTCCGCTGCACAACATTTCCACCTACTTGTAAGCTCGTTGGTTGCCAAAATTAACCCTATATTCAAAGAGGTTGTCTCATGACAATGAGCAATGGTATTTTATCAGTAATTCTGCCACTGAGTGTGGCCATACAAATGCTCTGGTGCAGAGTTACCAGGTTAACTTATAAGACTTTATTCACCACCTCAGTCCTCTCTCCCTCTCCCCACAATGAAACACTGGCAACTTACAGGCTCTCTGACACTATCCTGGAAGTTCCTCCAAATCAGAGACAACTTAAAATGCTATGTAGAAACCAAAAGTGATTTTACGTCATGTCACATCCATCTATAGAACCCCTATTTCAACCTCCGTTATGAGGAAAAAAAGTGCATTCCCTTATCATATCACCTTGCAACACAGGACAGAGGAAGATCAGCTCCCTTCCCAGGAGATGCATTTGCCTCTGCATTTTACAGAGAAATCACTCTTAATTCAAAGACAACAGCTGCAAGAGGCATATTAACAAAGCAACAGTTACTTTCATTGTTAAATGTTGTAGGACAAAATGCCTAACTTCCATGTATCCAGAGGCACTCTCTCAGTTGATTTTT